GAATAAATATTTCTAGGTAGCAGTAAAATGAAACATTATATTTTATATCTTTTAAAATATCAATTGATTTCAGGAAGGTAATGTATGTTTTGTGTCATTAAATACATAATAGCTTTAATTTTCTAATTCCAATGCTATAGTTCTACAAAAATTATAAAACTTGAAAATTTTGTGCATTTTATTAAATAATTCTATGTAACTGATATTTACAGAATTTATCCTAACAATATTAAATTATATTTGTAGGCACTGATGAAACTTTTACCACTGAGATATGTCCTAGATCATAGCCCAGGCCTAAACGTAGAATGCTGCAGAAATCATACAAAGTATGTTCAAGATTATAGGAAAGTTAAGCTAGAAATAAACAGTGTAAATGAATTGTAACCAGTATATACATACTTTTTCAAACAGCCTACAGATAATAGTAATAAATTATTAGGACATATTTGTGGTCATAAATTGAGAGATCCGTTAATATTGGGTTATTGGTTCCTTGATCTCTGGATTCAGAACAATTACAGTTACAATGACATGTCTCATCAAGCCAGATAGCCAGATTTGCTAGCATACTACAAACAAAAACAGTAAAGGTGGAGGAAACAATATTATCTAATTTAGAGAGTTATTGTTAGGACTCAGGAGGTAAGTGTGTGGTGTGAGAAAAAGTACAAAGAGAGTTTACTAAAAAGGGCACAATGGACAGGCACATTAATAAATGAATGAAATGAAGGTCCAGAAGTATGCCCATCAAGAGATAAACAAGAGCTATTGAGCAAAGGAGTCCATAGTGTGAAGAAAATTGTCCTGTAAACTAATTGTTAAGAACAAGTCACACAGACATTGTTAAGAAAAGGAAAAGCCATCTTAGGAGAAAATATTGAAAAACGAATATTTTCTTGCTCCAAAAAACAGAAATTCTTCCTGAGTCTCCATCTTAGAAAAGCAATTAGGTAAAATAATATGTAGTATATTGTGGTAGACAATTCATCTAATGCACATGTACATCTCAGATAAACACAGGAAAAACTACTCAACTCACATAATACTAGCGAGAACAAACACTGCCCACCCAGAAATAATTATAGAAAAAAAAAATGGAATGTTAAATAATTATTAAAATTCTCAAAGTTCAAAGTCAGCTACTCATAGTTTTGATTCAAGACACTACAGAGAATTAATTATTATCATTTCAGTAGCAGTTATTAGCACCTTTCAAAATGAAATTATCTTTTATTTCTATTCACTTTCCTAACACTTTTGATCTGAGATCACTTGGACAAAGATCAAAGAATTTGTGCTTTTATTTGCAAAAACTCATAGAAATCCTTTTTGGCAACTGTCAGGTTTTCTACTACTTTACCAAGAAAAGTGATGTCCTCATAGCCTTGAGAATCCAAATTTTGAGACAGAAATCAACTTGGCTGTAAATTATACTACATACCACGTACAGCTATTTCTATATTCTCAATAAGGCACCAGGTCTTCTGTGTAGGTGTTACAGCTGTTATCTTGGTGTTTTGTAGGATATACAACAGTGGGGGCAGGTATGTCTATGACTCTAGTCCCTGCTCTTTTTGTCTTGTTGGGTTGACTGGTCCAGCCTCTATATGGGCTCTTGCCTTGTCTTATTGTATCCTATTTTGACCTGTGTGGTGGTTGTCTCTTGGAGGCCTGCTCTTTTCTTAGGGGGAATGGTGAGGCAATGGATCTGAGGTAGAGGGGAGGTGGTGGAGGCTAGGAGCTGTGGAGAGAGTGGTTGTATCCTATGAGAGAACAATCTACTTTTTTTTAAAGAATATTTCCATGTATTTATTTATCCTTGTTACCACTTCAAGTTGCAACAGACAAATTCCCAACAGTTTTATTGAAAAAAAAAAAAAAAAGCCTTGCATTGTTTGTATCCTATGCAATTGTATTTAGTGAGAGGGTAAATGAAAATAGTACTTTGGAATTGTCACTCTTGTGGAGCTTCTATCCCCTCCAGGTCCTTTTATCCTTCCTCTCACTCTCCCACAAGACTCCTTGCACTCCCCACAACCACCCAAATAACTGGCTGTGAGTCTCAGCACCTGTTCAGAACCACTGCTGGGTGGAGCCTCTCAGAGAATACCTATGCTAACCTCCCTTCTGCAAGTACAGCAGAGTATCATTAACAGTGTCATGAATTGGCTCTCTTCCATGGGGTGGGTCTTTGGTTGGCCTAGGCATTGGTTGGAGTCCTACAGATTTTTAAGTTTTTTGAGCATTAGAAAAAAAGAAAAGAAATTTAAATAGCATATAGTAAATCACTCTTAACAATAGATTGGTGAGACATTAATGGGTATATTAATGACAAATACATCCAAAACAAGAATTATAATTTAATGATCTGATATTAATATGAGTTATACAGATAATTTTTCATTAATGAGAAAGTATAGCCTGTTTTACATTTACAAGTAAATATAATACAAGAATACACACAATAAATAAATATGCATCTATAAAGCAGGAGAAATTTTGCTATATTTAACACTAAAATATCTATTAAATTGTCTGAAAACAGTACATCTTTTCAGTACTTATGTTTCTATTTTCAAGAACTCAAAGCAGTAAAAATGAACACCGTTTTCGTAATATCTTAGATTCTGCAGGACATTTGTCTAGGCCTTTCTGGCTTTTCGAGTCTCCACTGAAAATGTGTCTGCATATATGTTATGATTGTTGGCTTGGTGTTCTGGGATAGTCCTGACAGTTGGAGGACGGGTGCCTTTGACTCTTTTGCCTGCTCTTGGGAACCCATTCTTCTACTGTGTTGCTTTGCACAGCCATGATAGGAAGGTTTTGCCTTGTCTTATTGTATCTTTTTGTGCCATGTTTGGTTGCTGTCCCAGGGGGATCTGCTTTTTTCTGGAGGTAATGGATCTTGGGGAGTCAGGAGGGGAGGAGAAACTTCAGAGTGAAGGGAGCAGAAGTTGTAGGCAGGATACCTAGTATAAGAGGAGAATAAATAAATAATTGTATATTGCAATGTGCTTAAGTTAGAATTAAAAAAGATTTAGTATACATAAGTAAAAAACCTAAATTAATTGACAAAGATAGAGTCAGAGAAAAACTAAAAGTAAGAAAGATCGTAAGATGAAAGAAAGAAACAGATACAGACAGAAATATTATAAACATTACAGTGTAAATAATGCTTGAGATATAATTTTATAATCTAGTAGTATCATTTATATAGTAGATAAAAACAAGCCCTAGCAAAGGATAAAATACCTTTATTTGTTAAATTTGGAAGAATAAACTGACCTTAACAGAAAGACAATATAACATATGTTTATTTTACATATCTAGGAAAAGTAATTTTATGAATAATGATTCATGACTTGCTATTTGTGGTAGTGCACAACTGTGGTGGCTAATTGCGTTTGTCAACTGACTACAGATGAAATTCAATAAAGCCAAATAACTGCCATATCTCTGAGGGGATTTTCTTTCTTTTCTGAAAAAAGATTTCCTAAACATATTTTGGTAATGTTTTTGTCTCACCCCAGTCTCTCCCAGATGCTTCTGCCTTTCCACATACCTAATATTGGGTTCCCTCTTCCTTCTTCTCTCTCACTCTCTTTCTCTAAAACAAACAGAAACAAAACAGAAATGCTCGTAGAAACAAAAACAAAGCCACTAAAACAAAAAACAAAGAAATGAAAATAAACAAGGAAAAGACCAGTAAGACAATAGATGCCCAAACACAGCAATATAAGAAAAAAATCCACAAAAACATCAAGTTTATTCTCTGTTGGCCAACTTCCCTTGGGCATGGGGCTTGCTCAGAAGTGCTGTTATGATGCCCTGTGAGACTCCATGGAAGAAAACTGATTTTCTATCTAGTTGGTATCAATTGCAGATAGCTCCTTTATAGAGAGTAGAGGACTCCACGCATTTCCCAACACTGTGCTGAAACCCTGCCTCTCATTACACTCTTAACCATCTTTCTGTCTCCTTTTTAGCATAGATCTCTGAGCCTTGAGTGAAGACTTTGATGAAGACATCCCATTTTAGACTGAATGTTCTGAAGTCTCTTCTTCTTTCTGTAATATTCAGTTGTGGGTCCCTGTGTTAATTCCCAACCACCAAAAGAAGAAGCTTATCTGATGATGGCTGAGTGAGTCACTGATTTATGGATATAGCAGTATGTCATTAGGAGTCATTTTATTGCTGTTTTCCTTTAAGATAATGTTAATATTTGGGTTTTCCCCCAGGCTTATAACCTATTTAGTCTAAGCTTTCTTGGTCAGTTCCTTACAATCTTGTGAAGTAAGCCTTAAATCCAATAACACAAATTGGATTTAGTATTAAAATTAAGCAATTAAATTCCCATAGCTCTTGTATCACTAATGTACCAGTTTATCTTAGGGGCAGGTCACTGTTGCAGGTTTACAGGTTTGTGTCTGGCATAGACTTATGGTTACTTTTCTCCTTTGGGAGTGTGCAGAGTTCCTTCTAGTTGCATATTTTATTTTATTTATTTATTTTTTACTACCATTTTTCTTTTCTATTGAAAATAGATTTTTAATTTTAATTTAATTTTTATTTGTTATTCATTACAGTTTATTCACTTTATATCTTGACTGTAGTTACCTCCCTCATCTCCTCCTAGTCCCACCCACCCTTCCTCTTCTTCCTGTTTGCCCATCCTCTAATCCACTGATAGAGGAGGACCTATCAGTTCTCATCAGAATTGGCTGCATTGTCTTCCTTTGTTGCTGGCAAGGCTGCATCTCCCCAGGGATGGTGATTAAAGAGCCGACCACTGAGTTCATGTCAGAGACAGACCCTGTTCCCCTTACTAGGGTACCGACTTGGAAACTGAGAATCCTATGGGCTTCATCTAAGCAGGGAGTCAAGATCCTCTCTATGCATGGTCATGGTTGCTCTGCAAGGGACCTTCTAGTTTTGTGTGATCTGGCTGGAATGTGGACTCACTCTGAACTAAAGTATAATTTTGGTGGAATACAGTCATGCCTTCAGTACTCACCTTTAATCCCAAACAACGGAGGTAAAGTTATTTTATAGAAAGAAGCAGCTATGTTTGAAAGTGATACCTAATCGAGGGGCACATAAAGTGATGAATAAGAGAGGTGTTTGACAGAGTGAATCAAAGATTGGATATGCCCAAATCTTCTGAGGACAGGAAAGAGAGGCTACTTAAGAGCAGTGAAGAAGAGGAGAGTATTTTTCACCATGATCTTTTAGTGGGAGTTTTACTGGGACAATTTTACAGAGACAGGTTGCTGAGAGAACAGTCTAGACACAGGTGAAAACAGAACAAGCCAGAGAACGAGAAGGATCCAGAATATTAAAACATATTACCAGAATTAGTTTGAAGCCAAGCAGATCAATTCAGTCAGAAGCTAAGAAAAGGCAGTTTGAAACAGTCATCTTAGAGAGGAGTTTGAGCCAAAACAGCTGAATTGAACCAGCCAGCCAGAGTTCAGAGAGAGCTAGAAAGGCTGATATGAGGAAATAAAAAGAACAGTTACAAACTTCTCTGTTAATTTTCTTAATATCTCATTTGTAATGAGAGGATCTCATGGAAGAAGGAAGTTTTTTTGTTGTTTTCTTTTTTTTTTGTTTTGTTTTGTTTTGTTTTTACCTTCTTGACTTCACTGTTGCTGGCAAGTTCATCTGTCCTGCTGCTGAGGCATTCCTTCAATGGCTTCAAACCTACTACTTCTTCAGGATCCCACATATACTAAAAACCAGTTAAGACATCCTGCTTTGTGGACTGAACATGGATAGAATTCTTGGCCTTTTCTTCTAGCTGGAATGAAGAGATAGCCATTGTTTGACTCCCTGGACCACATGCTATCAGCCAGCATAATAAATTCATTTTTTTGCACTGACTTATTGATTTTTATCATTCTTGTTTTTTTAAGGAAATCATGACTAATCCAAATACTATAATACTATAGTTTTAGTATCTGGAATAAGAAGGTAAAAGTTCAAGACCAGCAAATATGGCAAACCAGCCACAACATTATAGAGAGTTTTGGATGGCTCTCAGGCAGCAAACTGTCTCTGTGAATTATCTATTTTTTGGAAGCTGCTAGCATGCATTTTCTATTTATTCAACTAATTAATTTTATTCCTTCTCAAGTCTCTGATGGAACTGAAGAACAGATAATCATAGCATTACAATTAGCTTAATTGCTTAGGAATTAAAAAGATGTTTTAGGTCTAGATAGATGCTTTTAGTTTAATAGATACAAACTATAAAAATAACTTAGGTACAAAACCTTAGCCCCCCATAAAATAGATATTTTCTTCAAAATTGCCAAATACATTTAGATGAGAATACACACATACACACACACACACACACACACACACACACACACACACATTATATATGTATATGGTGAGAAGGCCCAGATGAAGAATACAAGCAAGTACTATGGGATTATGAAAAGCGAGTACTATGGGATTATGAATGGAAAGTGGTCCAGATAAGATTAAGGTAAATGGCAATGGATGGGGGTTGGGAAATGGTTTGTGGTTTCTTGAGGAAAACAGCAAGACCTCATCTGATCACTAAGGCCTGTGAAACCCAGCAGCTTCCAGGAATAAACAGCCAAGGCTAGGACAATCAGATAGTTAAAGGCCAGCAGGTACCATGGGATTATGAATGGAAGATGGTCCAGATAGGATTAAGGTAGATGGCAATGGATGGGGGTAGGGATGAATATTCAGACAGCATAGATAGGGATATCTGCCCAATCCAAGGCAAATAGGGCAATTATAAATATAACAGGTGTCTATGTCTTACTATTTGTGATAGCAGGTTAGATAATAACTCTGTGATATTCACAGGATTAATAGTAAACATTATATAGTCCAACAGCCATTTTTTTTTTTACTACAACAGGCTACATAGTGAGAACTTATCTCCTTTAACTAAATATATTAATGGTAAAGTTGTCAAAAATTAAAGCATAGAATCAAATAACAGTGAGTGGTGAGAATATGAGTTGTGAAGAATATGAAAAGTGATTTAAATTTAAAATACCTAAACATCTCCCCATTTAAAGGATTTCAAATAGTCACATTTGAGAGTCATTGAGATCACAGAAGGAAAAACATCAAAATGTAAGATATTATGAAGTGTTGTCAATAACTGTACATTTATGTATCTAAAAACTCTAACCACCCTCAGGAAATGAATACAATAGAATCTTTATAAAGAGCTGCACAGACAGGACATGAACAGGTTAAATACGTGTTCAACATAATTACTGAGGAAGGAAATGCAAGTTAAAAATCACAAGGAGATGTCACTGTGCATCCATTAGAATAGCTAATTAACTAAGTTTTAAGCATCTGAAGATGCCAAGCGTTGACAAGAACGTTGTACTAATTGGAATTCTAATACATTTACAGTAGTGATGCAGAGTGAGTCATCAACACTGTGGATGGTTTATCTACTGTATGTATGTTTTAACAGCCACTTCTCCTGTAACCCTCTAACTCATACATGATTTCCAAGGACAAATGAGCTTATCAATCTACACACATTTGTCTTCTAATACAAGACTTTTCAAATTAGCTGAAAAAGTGCAACACCATAAATATCTCCCAAGTTTGAAAGAATAGACAAACTGTGATACACTAACTAACATGACTCAGACACAACATTTCATACTGTACAATTCCATTAGTGTAGAATTCTATAGAACACATGATAATGACAAAAACAAACCAGTGTTTGGCAAACGTGGGACAGGAGATTGAACTGCTGATAGCAATAATGCATATGGAAATAAGAGTTTAATAAAAAAAGTCTGTGGTCTGTGTCATACTTGTTGAGGTTGTTCTGATACAGTACATATATAAAACATGATTAATTTACATACTTAAAATTCATTACTTGGATAGTTGCTGTGATAACTCAATGAGTAAAATCACTTACAATGCAATCAGAAAAACCCTTGTTAAAATCCCCAACACTCATATATAAAAAACATTATGAAAGTACAGCTGGTGTACCTAGTACTTTCAGTCTGAGTAGAGCAGATACATCCCAGGAGCCTTGGTCATTTTGCCTGTATGCAATTATGAGCTTCATGTTTAGTGAGATATCCTGCCTAAGGTAGTAAAGCATAGACCAATAGAGGAAGATAACTAATGCCTTTCCCTTATAGCCATATGAAAATGGACAGACATACGTACCATCAAGTAGATTTCCATGGAACACAGACACACACACACACACAGACACCAACATAAGCAAACAGACCTTGCCACACATATACACACATACAAACTTTTAATTTTATTTCAAATAGTTTTGCATCTAGAAACTTGATATTTGAAATTATAAAATATTAAATGTACCATTTATATCAAGCAATAAAGTTATTCTAAGCAGCAGTTTTGTGATGGTTGGGTTTGCACTAAGTGACAGATTTGTTCAATAGGAAAAAAGGAGCCCAGATTTTTCTCTTGGTCTCCTTGTGGAGCTTTTGTCCCCTCCAGGAATTTCTTCCCCTTCTTTCATAAGACTCCCTGCACTCTGCCCAAAGTTTGGTTATGAATCTCAGCCTCTGCTACAATACTCTGCTGGGTACAGTCTTTCAGATGCCCTCTGTGGTAGGCTCCTGTCCTGTTCCCTGTCTTCTCCTGCTTGACAGATACTCCAACCAAGGACCCTACATGGAGATGACCTAGAACCTTGCTCAGATGTAGCTCATGGCAGCTCACTGTCCAAGCGGGTTCCCTAGTAATGGGAACAGGGGCTGGCTCTGACATGAACTCAGTGGCTGGCTCTTTTACCTACCCCTGTGGAGGGAGCAGCCTTACCAGGTCACAAAGGTTTTCTAGTTTCTTAATGCAAAATGAGAGTTTGCATTCCTTTCCAAAAGGAATTCTCAGCAGATAAACTGGACTGTCCTCTACAGAAGAAAGCACAAGAAGGGACAGTCGGAAGAAATTCAAAAGAAAAGAACCCTCTGTGCACTCAAATTCCAGCGGGCCATCACTGGTGCATCTCTTGCTGATATAATGGCCAAGAGGAATCAGAAACCAGAAGTTAGGAAAGCGCAGCAAGAGCAGGCTATCAGGGTTGCCAAGGAAGCAAAAAAGGCTAAGCAGGCATCAAAGAAGACAGCAATGGCTGCTGCAAAGGCCCCCACAAATGCAGAGCCTAAACAAGATTGTGAAGCCTGTGAAGTCTCTGCTCCCAGAGTGGGTGGAAAACGCTAAATTGGTAGAAGAGAGTTTAAAATAAAGATCTGTTTCTAACTCTAAAAAAAAAAAAAAAAAAAGATTGCCTACAACAACACCGACAAATACAACAAAACTGACAAATTTGTCAGCTTCCTAAAGCACCAGTTTCCACAGGATATCAAAAAGATGGCTAATCTTTTCTGCTTATGCAATGCGTATATTTCAGGAGAGAAACCAACCACATCTGGGAGCTGCTGGTAACCTCATCTGTCTTCCAAGCTGGGGAGAAGAATGATCTGGGGAGATTAGTCAATATTTCCAAAGAAGAAAGGAGAATGTTTGCCCTCATGACTGAGATTGCCTGAGAGAATGCCATCTTTGTATCTTTTATACTATGAAAATTGAATATCTGCAAATCTGATTGTTAATGGCTGAATATTAAGAAATGTGAGACAGGGCAACACAGGGAACCACTTTTTCAAAGCAAACAAACGAAAAGAGATGGATAGTGGGAAAATTGGGTTCCGAATATTTCTAATCATGCCATGTGTTTGTTTTCTCTCTTTCTGTAATCACATTATAGTTATTACATTTCATACTCACTAGTGAAATTCTTTGTTTGGATATTACATATGATGTTAATGATTAGGCTTATTAGAACTGGAGATGACTGGTATGCACTGGATTTTTTGCCTTAAGCAGGTCTCTCACTAAATGTGATGGAGGCCAGAAGCCTCACTTTCTTCTGCAGAGTGTCTGCTTTATAATTTCATAAAGTTAGGAACCACTTTATCTGGTGACCCACTATTCTGAAATTCTAGGTGACTAAATGGAACTTTATTCAGCAATATTTGCTGTTTACCTGTTAGTTTAAATTACTCATGATAGCTTCTGTCTCTGAGCCAAAAACAAGCAAAAGTTTTGAAATTTAGATCATGTTTGTTAGGTGCTCTATCCTGCTCCACCTCTGTGTTTGTCCCCACGCTCCTCCACATATGACCTAAAGAGCCTGAAACGTAATAGGCGATATACACAAACATTGTTTCAGGCGTAATTGGGTAAACATGCTCTCTGCTTCTGCATACTTAATGAGAAAGAAATAACATGACGGTGATAAATTAATAGACCAGCAACCTAACTAATTAGACTAGAGGAGGTAAAGATTTAGCTGTGAGTTTGTTCATGCTTCCTAATTTTGTTGTTAAACTTCCTTTTCTAGTTGCTTTGAAAACAGTTTAAACCTGATCAATTATTTTTTTTAAGTTGAAAATTTCTAGAGTTTTGAGGGTTTTATTCAGAATCAAATAGTTTAACCATTTCTGTCTGTAAAATTTTCATAGTTTCTTTCCTTCCACAATCCTTTCTAAATGGCATTTGTATTTATTACATAGACAAAGATGATGAACTATGTACTGAGGTACACCTGACATATATTGGCTGTAGCTTTTAAAATTAAAGTCTGAATCAGAACTGAAATTCCCTGGGTTTTCCTGTCTGAAGATTACACAGTGAGGTCAAATTAATTATTTTAATTTTTTATGTAAATAATTGCTGTAATGAGATCAATTACTATTTTACTTTCCTAATTTATTTATATTTTCATTTTTAGTAATGTTAATGGTGTAAATTGCTTTTAATAATGTTAGGAAAATAAATCACTTAAATTATGCTTATCGGTCAGAGACTATAAACCTCATTATGAAAATGCCATAGGCAAAATATGGTAAGATATGAAGAGGATCAGAGGATGGAAATGCTGATTAACACACCTTTTAAGGCTGATTTAAGCCAAACAGAGCATGACGGTACCACACTCAAGAAGAAATCAATATTATGTTTTAAAAAATACACTGAAGCAACACCTAAAGTTAGTCTGTGATCTTTCACTTGTAGTTAATCAGGGGATTTTTAGAATCAGAGGACCTAAAAACCTTCCAGCATCTTAGCATTCTGCAGTGTGTTTCATACGTTCTAAACATGGCTGGTGTTAAGATACCCTACAAAAGGGCTAGACAAAAAACAAAACAAAACAAAACAAAATACTATGCTTACAGATAGTTTTTTAGTGAGGCTAAGTTTCTTGTTATTCAAGAAAGATATGAACCTGAAAGATCATGCAGGCAACATAACCTTACAAAGTGTGACAAGAGAGAACTGGACCATAACACAGAATATATTTTGGTAATTTGTATGTATTTATACACTTGCTATTTCCTGTTTTACAGAATTATTGACACATAGATTTTCATTTAACACTGTATGTAAATCAGTATGGTTATTTACTCGTTTTAGTCCCTGCAATTACTATATTTACGCATTTTCTAAACTTCAAGTTTAAAACCGCTTACCTCCCATGCACCTCTACTCTCAGGCTGATGGCCTTTTATCCTTTGATTATGTTTGCTGCATAAATATGTATATATGCATGTGAATATATATGTATGTATGTATATACCCATAACCTGCTCATTCCATTTTACTTACTTGGGTGTACATAGTTTAATGCTTCTTTAATGTGGTCAGTTCATTCCTGTTTTCAAATCTCATAAGATATTGACTCTAGTTCTTTATTTTTTATCAAAATATGTGTAACTGATACTATAATTTTTCCATGTTTTAAACTTCCTATTAATGTAATATGTTTTGTGTTAGGCCAGAAAAAATAATCATGGTGGTGATAGTTAATAGATTATCAATGTTTATTTTGTCACAGAACATCCTCTCTGCTTACTTCTTTGATCTTCATAATCTATACCATTTGTTTGTATTTGTATGTATTACTTTGCAAATATAGAAGATGATGTTCCTCAAAGTCAATTAATTTAATAAGAACAACTTTCACTTGGTGCTGCAGGCTTAGAGCTAAGGAAATATTTTATTCTTTTATCAATATATATTATGTGAGAGGCAGAGAAATAAAAAATGGCTTGAAGAACATGGAACTTTGTGTTTCTTATTTTGTTTACTCTAAGGCTTGAGCTAATGAGGAAACAGTGGCAAGAAGTTTCTCTCACTGTGTATTGACTGTATTTCTTTGTTTACTTTTCATTTTTATCTCTGCAAGTGAATATTAATGTATTTATTAAAATATATTTTAATATTTAATAACATATATTTGAGTCTTGGCCAAGTACTAACTGCACTGTCAACTATGTTCCATACTTTCCATACAATTATATGTCAAATCTTATAACTTTGTTGTTTAGGGAGAGCATTTCCAAATAATAAAAGAGAAAAAAATAAATGTAATCATATACAAATATTAAAAATAAATAAATATAACCTGTCTACAAAACTAAACCTGGACTAACAGAATGAAAGAAAAGTTAAAATTATTTATTTTCATTAAAATATAAGAAACATGGTGATTGCGCACAGCAAAAGAATACCTAATTAGAAGATAAAAAGAGATTCTATTTGCTTCTTTCTACCTTTGAAATTAACATACACGTTTTTTACATTTGTTAAATTACCTCTTTTTTTTGAAATTATACTATGATTAAATCATTTCTTCCATCCCGTTTCTTCCTTCAAACCCTCCTATTTACCCATTCTTGCTCTTTTAAAAACTCATTGCATAGTTTTCATATTATGTTACATACATGTATGTATATAAATATATATCCACAAATAAATACATAACACCTGTTCAGGTTTTTATGATACTTTTTGTAAGTATTTTTTCATGGCTGATCCTATTTCCTTTTAAGGCAGTGGTTCTCAGCCTTCCTAATGCCATGACCCTTTAATACTATATCTCATGTTGTGGTGACCCCCAACCATAAAATTATTCCAATTGCAATTTCATAACTGTACTTTTGATACTGTTTTTAATCACAATGTAAACATTTTTGGAGCTAGAGGCCATGACCCCATGTTGAGAACTACCGTTTTAAGCAGAAAGAGCTGCTTGCTGGAAAAATAAGACCTACTTTTGGTGGTTTGGGCAAATAGATAAATGACAGACAGGATAAGTGGAATGTGCGAGGTATACTGAGTGCAATTTGTAGTGTTTTTGTACAATTTTAATTTTGAAGGAAGAAAAAAATTTTCTTCAGTAGAATGGAGGGTTACCTATGAGGATATATATATATATATATTGATCTGAAGAAACACAAGTGAAAGGAAGGAAATGTTTGCATCTATACAATATAGAATGTTGTCATACAATACAGATTATCTTCACTGTGAATTATTTTACAACTATAACAGAAATGATAAAGCTGTGTAATACATTTTTACATGCATAAGTATGTAAATACAGGCAAAATTATAATTTAATGATACTTTGAAAATATTTATGTAAATGAAGATATTAAGGAACAATATATAAACTTGGATGGAAATGAGTAATGTCAAGTATTTATTTAAATATTGAATTTCTTTATACATAAGATTCATATATCAAATCCCAAATCATTGATGTATGTTTAGGTGTATGTATGAATTCCACATTGGAGACACCTTTTTTCTTTCTTTGTTTGTTTCTTTATTTCCTTTTTGTTTGTTTCTTCCTGTCTTTCTATTTGTCTTTCTTTTCTTTCTTTCTTTCTTTCTTTCTTTCTTTCTTTCTTTCTTTCTTTCTTTCTTCCTTCCTTCCTTCCTTCCTTCCTTCCTTCCTTCTCTCTCTTTCTCTCTCTTTCCTGGACTGCAGTTTACCCTCCCTCCTCCTCTCCCAGGCCCTCCCCAGCACATCCACTTCTCCTCCATTTCTCTTTAGAAAAGGGCAGGCCTCCCATTATATCAACAACCCATGGCATATCAAGTTGCAGTAAGGCTAGGCACCTCCTTGCCTATTAAAAGCTCAAAGAGGCAACCCAGTAGGAGGAAATGGTTCTAGAGGCAGGCAACAGAGTCAGAGACACAACTGTAACTTATGTGCAAAGGGCCAAGTTAGTCCTATGCAGGCTCCCTGGTTGAAGGGTTAGTCTCTATGAGGCCCTGGAGTCCAGGTTAGTTGCTTTTGTGGTTTTGTCTATGGATATACTGCCCTGAACACACACTGTTCTGTGGCTTTCCTTGTGTTATCCTTGTCC